CATGAAAATCCTTGGATATGTATCAAGTAGTTTTGAGATCTACTCTAAGACAATAAGAATTCATTTATGCACAAAATGGAAAGTAATCATAATCTTAGTTTATATTTATTCCCGTGGAAAATTCAGTCTTAAATTTCTGTTAATCCTGAGTGTTGTGTGATATTCATGAATCCATGAAAGATTATAAGTAAATGAGTAATATGATCATACTTGCCTTTTATTTAGCAAAATCATCTGAGGTGCAATGTGATGGATAGATTGGAAGGGTTAAGACTGGAGGCAGGAGCCTGATTAGACAACTATTAAAATAAGCCTGATGAGACATTATTCAACAGTGAGGATATATAAAAGGGAGATTTGAGAGACAATTTAGAAGGAGAATGGATAGGAATTAATTTGAATGTGAGAGGTACAAAAGAAGGAGAAAGTCTAAGAAATCTCTAGGTTTCTGACTAGAATGATTGGATAGATGGTCCTCTCATTCATTGAGAGAAAGGGAATACGGAGGAAGGACAGAACTAGGAGGAAATAGGATGAGTGGAATTTTATACATAGTGAATTTGAGGTGCCTTTGACTTTCATAAAAAGAAATAATCTGTTAGATATACCAGATCAAAAATTGCTGCTGCATTCTATTTCAGGTGAATTTAGTCTTCTCTGAAAGTTTGTCACAGTTGCTTTCTATTACAATACAATTCTAGAAAAGTAGAATTTGGGATTTCCAGTTATGATTAATTAAACTAAATTTGGTTTAAATGAGAAATATTTTAAGTGTCCCTCTTACAGAGCTCTAAGTTGCATTATATAGACCAGACACCTGCACTCAATGGTCATGCTTGTTAGAAGACACAGCAACTTTAGCATTGTTGTGACTGCTGTCATGGAATGCTTTTCTGACTCCTTATCCCTGGATTAGGTACCTGTCATATGTATTCTATGTAATCCTATAATGTCACCTGTCTAATGTTGTTCTTATCACACTGATTTGTAATCTCACATGAGGGTGGGGACTTTATCTTGTTCACTGTCATATCCTTGTCATCTAGCAGGATAGGTGGTGCATAGAACTAAGTAAATAGCTGTTCAGTGATAGGTGTTGTATGATGTGAAAGCTATTAGCACTTTTGAGTGCCCTCTACATCCCCTTTCTCCCCCACTTTTTTCCTGTCCCATGTATGCTTTATCCCAGATAACCCATGTGAAGGTTCTGGTATGTAACTTTCCTGGTTTTTCTTACACATATAATTAGACACACACACACATACACACACATGCAATATATATGATGTCTGTGATTGCCATTGTTTTACATATTGGATCATGTCATGTACACTTGCTTGCATTTTGTTTTTTCCCAGTAAATCCTGTAGATTACTCCAGATCAACTGGTATTGCTTAAATTTATTATTTTAATGATTGCACAAAACTTTACGGTGTGGATTTCTAATAATTTATTTAGTTATTTCTCTACTTATGGATATTTACTTTCTTACCATTTTCTACACTATAAACAATGCTAGAGTAAATATACACATGAATCCTACCATATTGTTGCATTTTATATTTCTAAAAAAGCTTTTCAGGAGTAGTTATTGGATCCAAGGACAAATATATCTTTAAGTTAGAAATATATAATGCCAGCTGGGCTCGGTGGCTCAGCCTGTAATCCCGCACCTTTGGGAGGCTGAGGTGGGTGGATTGCCTGAGCCCACAGGTTCAAGACCCGCCTGGGCAAGTTGGCGAGACCTCATCTCTACAATAAATCAAAATGAACCGGGCATGGTAGCGCGCGCCTGTAGTTCCAGCTACTTGGAAGACTGAGGCGGAAGGATCGCTGGAGCCCAGCAGGTCGAGGCTGTGGTGGCCGGGAGCGGCCACTGCACTCCAGTCTGGGCGACAGAGTAAGACTCCAACTCAACAAAAAAAAAGAAAAAGAAAAAGAAATATATAATGCCACGTTGCTTTCTTGCAAGTTTAAGCCAGTTTATTTGTTTTTATTTTTTGAGTTGGATTCTCATTCTGTCACCCAGGCTGGAGTGATCCTGGCTTATTGCAGCTTTGATCTCCTGGGCTTAGGTGATCCTTCTGCCTCAGCCTCCCAAGTAGCTAGGACTACAGGCATAAGCCATCATGCCCGGCCAACTTTTACAATTTTTTTTTCTAGAGATGAGGTCTCACTATATTGCCTAGACTGGTGTTGAACTCCTGGGCTCAAGCAGTCCTCCTACCTTGACCTCCCAAAATGCTGGGATTACAGGTGTGAACCAACATGCCCAGCTAAACCAATTTATTTTTATCAGCTGTTTATTAGAACCCTTTACCTGCATCCCCTGAAATTGTGTTTGTTACTTTTTTTTTTACTTTTATCAGTTGGAATATAAAGATATGTTTCTGACTACTGGTGAGTTTATATGTCTTTTCATGCATACATTTGTTGGCCATTTGGATTTGATCTTATTAAACTCTTCTCCCATCTGTGAGGTTCTAAATTTTTGGTGGTAACATTTTAAGCTATTTTTATATTTTAGGTGTTTTCTATTCTCTGTATTGCAGGTATCTTTTTCCAAATTTTTATTATATTCATTGACATTGTTTACAGTCTTTTTTGTTATATAATTAAAATTTTATAATACAATTAGATATTTCTATTGTTTATATTTTCTGTGTTTGCATGGCTTCATTATATTGCCGTATAGAAATTTAGCTTTTCTTTTTTTTTTTGAGTTGAAGTCTCACTCTGTCACTCAGATTGGAGTGTGGCACGCCCCCGGCCACCGCAGCCTCTACCTGCTGGACTCTGGCAATCCTTCCCCTCAACCTTCCAAGTAGCCAGAACTGCAAGCACGCGCTACCACACCTGGCTAATTTTTTTTATTTATTGTAGAGACGAGGTCTCACCAAGTTGTCCAGGTGGGTCTCGAACCCGTGGGCTCAGGCAATCCACTCACCTTGACCTTCCAAAGTGCTGGGATTACAGGCTGAGCCACCAAGCCCGGCCACAGCTTTTCTTTATAGAGAAAAGCAAATCATTTTTAGATATTTATCTGGCATCCAGTCACATTATTAAATTCTCATTCTAATAGAGTTCTTTTTTCTCATTAGAGTCTCTTGGGTTTCCTAGATATATACTGTAACAGCAAAAATACTTTTTAATATCTTCCCTATTTAACATTAAATGTGCTAATTCTTTTTTTTTTTTTTGGAGTCTCACGCTGTCACCCAGACTGGAGTGCAGTGGCTGCTCCTGGCCACTGCAGCCTCGACTTGCTGGGGCGATCCTTCCGCCTCAGCCTTTCAAGTAGCCGGAATTACTGGCATATGCTACCACGCCCGGCTGATTTTTTTAAAATTTATTGTAGAGAATGAGGTCTTGCTGCCCAGGCGGGTCTCGAACCTGCGGGCTCAGGCAATCCAGTCACCTCAGCCTCCCAAAGGCGTGGGATTACAGGCTGAGCCACTGAGCCCGGCCGCTAATTCTTTTATTTTAATCCATTTGCCAAACAGTCTTAGGAAAATGTTGAACAAGTAACATAGGAATAGAAAATTACATATCAGAATATAAAGATGCAAATATAAGGCCTGGAACATTCGTTCCTCTATGGGTATTATTACCATTATTTAAATTAATCTAATGCTAGATAATTACATGAGAATTAACCAGGTAATAGTTTTGTTAAATTGTTTTATACAGATTTAATACTGTAATGGTAAAAATTAAAACACTACATATGTATTTGATTTTTTGCAAAACCTCCTTAAAAACCTAGATTAACATAAAAGATCAATCAGTGTGATTATTTGTAATACCTAGGAAATTGTCAACAGGTTGCCTTGCCGTGGAAAATACTGTGGTGTCTTTAATATATTTTTCATTTAAAACAATTTAGTTTGTGTGTAACTCTTAGGTCTATTTCTATTCATCAAAATGAGATATACTATATTTAAAAGGTTTCCATTACTTAGGAAAAAGAATTTTCATAGAAATATTTTAGCAAGAATGTGAAATAAAGAGCAGTACTTAATTTCTCTGTGTTTTTTTTGTTTGTTTGTTTTTTTGAGAAAGCAGGATTTATTGAGAGAACAGAAGAACTCTCACAGTGGAAGGGTACTTGTGGGGGTTGCCCTCTCAGTGCTTCTTACCAGCTCTCTGAGTTTTGAATAGTCAGCTAACTTCTCTGGACTTTAGTTTTGACAGTGAAAGACACCTTAAAGAATGACTGTGAAGTTTAAATTAAATGAGATAATGTACTTTTGTGTGAACGTGCTTGGAGTATAAGGTGCAATACAAATGTATGGTGATATTCTTTTTTTTTTTAATCAATATTTTTTATTATGATTTTGTGGGGTACAGTTAAGGGTTAGGTGTACAATTATGTTTCATTCAGGCACCCTGTTGATAAGAGGTGTTTCCCCATCCGCAGACAGATATTTGCGACTGTTAATCCCATCTCCCTCCCCCCCATAGTTTCCCAGTAGTATGGTGATATTCTTATTAGCTATATAGATAGCTCGACGCTTAACATCTTTTTGTTGATTTGATCAAGATGCCATTTAGAATTTGTGAGAAAAAAGAAGAATTTGTTTATTTGAAGAATAATATTTATAGCATAGAGCAAAGCAATGCCAACCATTACTAGCCAGGAGATTACCCTTTAAAGTTACATTTTAGATATAAAGTATTCTACTGACTCTTAGTGATAGAAAAGGTAAGTTAGGAGTGTTAGGAGGTAGTGTGGGAGGGCATTAGGGCTGGACTGCATGGGCACCTTGGTGATTAGAACTTTACTTAGAATATTCCATAGATTTATTGAGCATAGATACTTTTGTGTTCTCTATGAGCTTTGGTTTCAATTGCAATGAAGCTGTTTTTATTTGAAGTATATTGCTATTTCTCATTTAGCAGATATGAAATATTGGTAGTTTTACTTGATCACTTGTTCATTTTCTAAGATAATTTTTAACAATTTACTTTCACCTTTGGTCTGCATTTTTGATAACAGGTGGTATTTATGCAGATGAATTTGCTAGTCACGGTCCAATGAGTTTGAAGGAATTGGAGTTGCATCCAAATTTTAACCGTGTTCTTCCCACAACACTTCTGACAGCACAAGAAAATGATATTATTTTACCAGTGGCTGCGGGAGATTTTTCTCAGGTACCAAACTAATTGCACTTGTACTTTACTTAGAATGAGAATTGTAACTGTATTGCCTTAGCATGGTGCTCTTCAAGAGTGTAGTCTTTGGAGTGAGGTAGCCTCAAATCTTGCCTCCTTTATTTACTAACTAGAGCCTGGATATAAATCTCAGCCAGTTTCTATCTGTGTTTTTGAACACATTACCTAGTCTCATTTTTTGAATTAACGAATAAAAATAACATATATAGATAGTAGGGTAGCTATTTTCATTCTTTCTCTATGCAATACTAGCTCAGTAATTTGCACAGAGTAGGTACTCCACAAATGTTTATTACAACATTTATAAAATGTTTTCCATGAAAGTGCAAGAAATTTCATACTGAGTGAAGCCAATGGCCTGTGCAATCTTATGTACTGAAAAAATAGGACAATTACTCTCCAAGATGTTAATGTAAAAAATGTTCATGTTATTAAATACAAATTTGTATTTGTATACTGGAAGTTCATTATTCATTTTTGATTAATTCATTTAATAAGTGTTAATTGCATGGTATGGTGCAGGAATGCATGGTGTTAAGGTTGCAAACAGATAATATATAAGATAAATATTCCAGCTATTTGGAAGACTGAGGCGGAAGGATTGCCAGAGCCCAGCAGGTTGAGGCTGCAGTGGCCGGGAGTGGCCACTGCACTCCAGTCTGGGCAACAGAGTGAGACTCCCAACTCAAAGAAAGAAAAAAAAAAAAAGATAAAGATTGTTTATGGAGCACCTATGATCAAGCAAGGATCGGGAAAAATTAGTTAATGGTGAACAAATATTGTTAATAACTTCTGTATAAAATAAAGCTTTTTGTCACCATGAGTTAGGCAAACATTTCTTAGATGTGATACCAAAACTACTATTCATGAAAAAATGGTTTTTTGAATTGTTTCTACCAAAAATAAGAACTTCTACTGTTCAAAACACACTTTAAGAGAATGAAAAGGCAAGCCACAGACTGTGAGGAAAAATTTACAAATCACTTATCTGATAAAAGACTTGTATCCAGAATACATAAGGAACTCACAGAACCTCAATATTAAGAAATCAATCCAATATAAAAATGAACAAACAATTTAGGCAGATACTTTATCCATAGAAGATTAATGAATGGGAAGGAGGCACATAAAAAGATTCTCAACAGTGTTATTCAATAGGAAAATGCTAAGTAAAACCACAGTGAAATACCACTGTACACCCATTAGAATATCTAAAATTTAAAAGACTATCAGGCCGAGTGTTGGCAAGGATGTGGAGCAACTGAGCTCTTGTACATTGCTATTGGAAATGTAAAATGATCCAACCACTTTGGAAAAGAGCTTGGCAGTTTCTTAAAAAAGTGTACACCCACCATATGAGCTATGCATTTCACTCCTAGTTTCCCAAGAGAAACTAAAACATATGTGTACATGAAGACTTGTTCATGAATATTTATAGCAACTTTATATTTGTAGTAGTCAAAAACTGGAAACAACATAAATGACCCATCAGCTGGTGAATTGGACAAACTGTGGTATATCCTGTACTAAGTAACAAGAAGGCGTGAACTATTAATACAGACAATAACATGGATGATTCTTACGAAAGTTATGTTGAGTGAAAGAAGCCAGACCCCTCCCCCCAAAAAAGAAACCCATGCTCTATTCTTTCATTTATATAAAATTCTAGAAAATCAAACTAATCTATAGTAACAAAGCATTTCAATTATTTTCCTGGGGATGGTGTAAGGGGTGGAGATGGGGAGGACAAGAGGGAGTAAATACAAAAGAGTATGAGAAAACTTTTGAGATTGATGGATATATTCATTATATTATTTTTAAATTATTATTTACTTATTTTTTAGACTATCTTACTCTGTTGCCCAGACTAGAGTTCAGTGGCATGATTGTGGCTCACTGCAACCTCAACCTCTTGGGCTCAAGCGATCCTTCTGCCTCAGCCTGTTGAGTCGCTGGGACTATAGGCATACACCACAACACCTGGCTAATTCTTATATTTTTTGTAGAGATGAGATCTTGCTATGTTGTTCAGACTGGTCTCAAACTGCTGGCCTCAAGCAATTCTCCCACCTCGGCTTAGTGCTGGGATAACAGGCATGAGCCACCATGCCCGTCATCATTATTATTTTGATTATGGTGATGGTTTTATGGGTATATACATATGCCAAAACTTAGCAAATTGTACGATTTAAATATGTGCAGTTTATTATCTATCACTTATATCTCAATCAAAATGTTTAAAAAAATAAAAGAAGGATTGCTTGCCTTTAATTGTTGACTTGTTTGGAATTAATAGTATGAAGTATTACCAGAAGGATGGGCCTCAAAAAATTCCATTGGTACATTTCTTTGGCTAGCAAGAAAGTATGGTTAGTAATAATAGCTCACATTTATTTATAGTGCCAGAAACTGTTCTAAGTTCTTTACATTTTTTAACTCATTTAATCCTTATAACAACCAATGAGGTAGTTATTATTATTATTAGCCCCTTCTTATGAATGAGGAAATTGAGGTATTGAGGACTTAAGTAACTTGCTCATTATCAAAGCTAGAAAATGGCTTAACCAGATTTGAACACAAGCAGTTTAGCTCCTGGGTTCACAGCTCTTATTCACTGTGGGTAAGTAGGGACACAAGTACCCATCTTAGAAATACTCACCAAAAATAATATTTCCTTCTAGGCAGACACCTATGTGACTAATGACCCTAAACTTGAAAGCTCAGGGTTAAGGCAAGTTATTATTACTACAGTCTAAGCTACTCATTTTTACCACTCTGTAAAGAGGGGCCTGCCAGAGCTGGAGTGGTTACATCTGAGTTCATATGGACGGGTATTTCAGATTCTTCTCTGGTTGTATTTATTGATAGTGGTCCAGAGATGTCTTTTTAAGTTCCTGTTAAAATATATCTGATAACTGTTTTCAGGGGCTCATTCACAATTAAGTTCATAAAACAGGAAAAGGAAGAAAGAAAATAGCTAAAGTCGTCACAGACTGTGATGTGAGATTAAGAGATTTATGACTACTGTAAAGTTCAGATCTGGTTAGGTTATAGGTAAGGAAGAGATGATAAGGCTTATGATGGAGCATTTGTTTCTTGATTGGCAAATGGAAGATAACAGTACCTACTCACACTTGTGAGAATTAAATGATGTTACTATGTATAAAAGCTCTTTGAAAATTGCAGTACATTATGCAGATTTTCATTTTATGCAAAAAAATGGTTATATGGAAGAGTTTGCAGCCAAATTAAGTTCTTATCCTGTCTAAATCCATCATGTATGTATAAATGTAGTTTGATTTATAAGTAGCTCTGAATTCTCTAATAAAAATAGAAATGGTTAAATATTTTAAATCTTTATATATATCCAAATCTTTTTAAAGATTTTTTTTTGCAATATCTTTTTTATAATATATATTCTACAACCTATTTATTAGTTGAAGTACTAATAAAGAACTAAATGACAAAAAGGGGAATTAGGAAGCAAGCATATTATTAAAATTTTATATAATAGATGCCTGAATAATTTGACTACTCAGAGTTTTAAAAATAACTTAAGCTGGGCTCGGTGGCTCAGCCTGTAATCCCGCGCCTTTGGGAGGCTGAGGTGAGTGGATTGCCTGAGCCCGCGGGTTCGAGACCCGCCTGGGCAGCGAGACCTCATCTCTACAATAAATCAAAAAATCAGCCGGGCGTGGTAGCGCATGCTTGTAATTCCGGCTGCTCGGAAGGCTGAGGTGGAAGGATCTCAGGTGCCCAGCAGGCGAGGCTGCGGTGGCCGGAAGCGGCCACTGCACTCCAGTCTGGGTGACAGAGTGAGACTCCAACTCAAAAAAAAACAAACAAACAAACAAACAAAAAAACTTAAAAATATTATGACCTTATGTCTTAAATTATTTAGTACCAACAACAAAAGAAAGACCAGGATGTTAAGCAAGTTGAATATAAATCAACAGAAAGTTGTTTAATACATGTAAGAAGTAAACCTGATATTTCACCTTCACAGCAAGGTAAGACTTGTTTTTATGTGGTCATATAATAGTTGGATGTTTGTCCTGATATAGAACAAATAAATAATGACAGTTCTTTACTTTTATAATGTATCCTATTCTTGTCTCTGGTTTTTTGTTGGTTTGGTTTTTTTCCTCTCATTTAGTGCATTTGGATGAAGAATTTGATATATTTTGTGACTTTAAATTTGTTAGTTCTTTTGATAAACACTATTTCTAATTGATTTTGAAAACTTTTAGCTGGTGTTTCCTCTTCAACCCTACCTTTTGGTTCTTGTGCAACTGAATGTCAGGGTCTTTTTTTACCTATATGTAGGTAAGTATGCTTGAAATTCTAATATGCTAAAGCAGGATTGATGGCTATTAACGCACTTTGTAAAGGCTATTTAGTGTTGTGTGGTGATGTTCACCAAATACAACTCTAAAGCAATTGATTCTCACATTACATGCTATTTTATGCATGAAGTTTTCTATACTATTGTTTATAAAAATTGTGTGGTTACCTTTCATTCTACAACCAGCATTAATGCATTTTGTTGTTGTCTTTATGTTTCTGCAAGGCTATTGGCCCTGTGGTTTGTTGCCTTCTTGCTTCTCAGTCATTTATATTTTATATAGCCTAAATTATGAAGTTTGGCAGCAGAAATTAAGATCTCATCTGTTTAAAAACTTTCTTTCCACAGTTCAGGAAGAAGTATTAGGAATATTTTGAGCAGTAGAATTTTTTTTTCGCTAAGGGCCTAAGTGAGGAAGTTCTCAAGCTATTAAGTTTTTGCCATATACAGCTTAGGTTTTAACTCTTCCATTTGTTTTCTGTTCTTCTCTTGTTTCAACTTTTCAGAACTTGGCCATTCTGATCTTTTTTAAAATTTTTTATTTTTTAGCCTAAACATAGTACATAAACATAGTACATTAGTACTTTAGACTTCTATGGAAAATTGCCTTATAAAACTCTTCTCATGGTGATTCAAAAAATTTATCACGATAGTACATAGATATGAACAATACATGTTCCTAAGATAATATCAGGACTGACTTGATGTCCTGCTGAGCACTGTTACCATTCATGGTTGGTGATAGTTCATTTAGTTTAGTTTTTAAAAATATAATCATTTCTTAACATGGTAAGTGAATTTTTCTTCCTTATTGATGTTGTATCTAGTAAAACAATCATTTTTCTCAGCTGATAGGAAAATATCTTTAAGTTTTAAGACTAAATATCTCTCCTTAAGAAAGCAATTGTTTTCAGTTTTGCATATAAGATGTGCCTGAACTTATGATGGGGTTATGTGTTGATAAACCCATCCCTAACTTGAACATATTTTAAGTCCAAGGTGCACTTTCCACTTAAGATATTTTCAAGATACAATGGGTTTGCCTAGACATAGCCCCATGGTAACTTGAGGATTCTACTGAATCCATACAGCTTTTATACCATTATAAAGTGAAAAAAATCATAAATCGAACCATTTGTATGTGAACTGAAAGTCAGTATATGAGTGTCTGACCACAGGATGGCAATAGTTACATTTTTGTTGACTTACAGCAATGTCATTAAATAATGTCCAATTGATATCCAATAAATCAATAAAAATTATACGAAGAGTGAAATAAATCAAGATGTTAGCTAATAGGCAAAAGTTTTATTTTTTATATATTTTTTATTTTTTATTTTTTTTTGAGTTGGAGTCTCACTCTGTTGCCCAGACTGGAGTGCAGTGGCACGCTCCCCGCCACCACAGCCTCAACCTGCTGGGCTCCGGCAATCCTTCCGCCTCAGCCTTCCAAGTAACTAGAACTACAGGTGTGTGCTACCACGCCCGGCTAATTTTTTGATTTATTGTAGAGATGAGGTCTCACCAAGTTGCCCAGGCAGGTTATGAACCCGCAGGCTCAGGCAATCCACTCACCTCAGCCTCCCAAAGCACGGAATTACAGACTAAGCCACCAAGCCTCACTGACAATGTTTTATTAAGGGAAGGGTTTACAACAGTTGGATTTAATACATTTGAAATTTTTCACATTTAGTTTTACATCTAATACAAAAGTTAGGGGAGCAGACCTATGCCAGTCTTGATTAAGATAAATAAATAACCAGTGGGCTATAAATAGAGCATTTTGGATAGAAGCCCGGTCTTTCATTCTATATTTGATGCATATCTCCATATTGAATATTTCTTGAATGAATATAATTGTCTTGGCAAATATAGTCAGTTATGACTTTTTTCCCATATATTTTGTGGGTTTAATTTTTTTTTTCACTGACGAAACTCTGAGACATTACCAAATGTTCCAGAAAGTAGGAGAGTTGGAATGCCAAAATAATCCTCTATGGCTCTCAGGACTTTGGGTGACCTTGAAGGAATTCAGTCCTATTGTACATAGAAGCCTTGAAGATAAGGACATTTACCTTATCAACAAGGAATCAAAATCATATCTTTTCTAGCAGATAATAAATGCTTCTAAGAATACTTGAATCCCAAATTATGGCTATTTTGGGGGAAGTATCATATATTTCATTTTGAAATGTGTACTAGGTTTAGTATGTGTGTATAAAGAAATCAAACCGTTTACTAGCAGTGGCAGCTTTCTCAATGATCATCCATTAAAAATTAACTGAAGAATGGTAGAACATGGATTCTAGCATTCTGCTGCTGGTAAATCAGTAAAATCCTTTTTTTTTTCTTCCATTATTATTTTCAGATGTTAATATAAAAGAGAGGACTCGATTGTTCTGACAGATGATATCTTTGGAGTCTAAGAGCTCATTTGGTATTGAGCTCACTGGGTCTGTTTTTGGTCACATGATACCGCTTATCTGCTCCTATGTACTGGTTAATATGTCTAACGGTTTTATAGAGAAAGCAACTTTTTAAAAAAGTGATTTTAATGAGTCATTTCTGTTTTTTCCCTTTTACTGTGCAAGTTAACCTACACTACATCTTTTGCTATGCAAATAAGCTTCCTTTAATATGAATGGGAAACTAGTTTTAAATCTATTTATTTGTGATGAACCCAGCAACAATTAAATTCTATAAAGTGATACATTAAAATAGTACACTTAAATTTTTTTTTTTTTTTTTTGAGTTGGAGTCTTACTCTGTTGCCCAGACTGGAGTGCAGTGGCCGCTCCCAGCCACCGCAGCCTCGACCTGCTGGGCTCTGGCAATCCTTCCGCCTCAGCCTTCCAAGTAGCCGGAATTACAGGCATACGCTACCACAGCTGGCTGATTTTTTGATTTATTGTAGAGATGAGGTCTCGCTGCCCAGGTGGGTCTCGAACCCATGGGCTCAGGCAATCCACTCACCTCAGCCTCCCAAAGGTGCAGGATTCAGGCTGAGCCTCCGAGCCCAGCTTAAGATATTTTTTAATTTAGTTTTTCTCTTAAAATTTAAGGCCATCATAATAAATAATACTTAGTCAAACATGTTATATACTACTAGCAATCAATGGGGAGAAATTAGGTGAAATGTTTTATGGGTAAAGACAGATTGGGTTTTCAAAGTTGATTGAAAATCACAGCATTCTTTAGTTTTCTGTTTACAAATTATATATGTTGCTCAGAAGATATGTATCAAAGTGCTAAAAGTAGACACAATTGCTGTAATTATGAAAATCAGTTTACATTTTTGTGGGAAATATACTTGCAGAATCGCAAATATTTTTTTTTGCCATTATTGCCTAAGTTTAACTCCTAGCCACTTTAACACCTTTTATACCTCACACACTGTGATTGTGACTTTAAACATGTGAGAATTAGGACATTCAAAACTTATGTGTATTTAGAAGGTATTTCTGATCACGTGTGTAAGTGAAATCATTTTTCTTTTTTAGTGAAGTAGTAAATTTTTTGCCTATGTATTTAAATATAGTTAAATTACAACAGCTATCAGAATTATAACTGATCTTAATAATTTCAAAATGAAAAGTATTTAACATTGATTTTTTAAAAAATCTTATGATAGTGATTTCAAAATGTTATGTGTGGGTCTCTGATAGGGAGGGAAGAGGGCAAGACCAATAAAAAATCTATGAGTCCAAATATATAACAAGCATTGCTTGAATAAATGTATCTTCCACAAACTCGTGTTATTATTGATTAACAAAAGAGAAATTCACTTTGAAATGTTGTTGAATTTGCGAGTTTTGTTTCTACCTAGGATGAGGAAAGTGGAAAGAGTGTCACTTTGACCCTAACTATAATAAAACATCAGATAAACTACAAAATCACAACATTTCTTGAACCCAACAGAGAGCTTATGATGCATAGCAACTAAGTATCCTTAAGTTCAAGGTAAGACAGACTTCTCCAAAGAGATGGGACACAAGAACCATCTCACTTGTGCCAGAGCACAGTCGCAGAAAGAGAAACCAGGACCACAGAAGCAGATGAGAAGCATTTGGCTGAACATTGTTTGTGGGTTGCTAAAGACTGAGGATAACCATTGATAATCACAGATATAAGGGAAGCTCACACCCTCTTCTAGGCTTCTTCTCCACAGACCTCTGGAGAAGGATTGGGGGCAGGGCAGGAGACTAGAGGAGAATTGTCCTCGCTGGTACAGTCCTGGTAGAGGGGAGTGGCTGTCACTGCCAGAAAGACAGGATCACCCATTTTGACCCTTTTCCTATCAGAACTAAACTCTTAAGCCACCAAGGAAGGGGCAGCATCTCCAGAGTGTAGGTGGAAACCCACTGTGCCTCGGGGAAGGGAAAAGGAAAAAAGGATTCATTTCTTGAGAAGAACCAATAGTCTTGGGCCCACAATCTTTTATCAATACCATTAGAAGTTTCTTATTGCTGGTAGAAGGGTAGGAAACTCCTGCACAAAACTTGCCAAAGGGACAAGACAGAATTAAAATGTCAATTTTTCCCAAATCTATAATTTCAGTGCAATCTCAATGAAAACATTCCAGCAAGGTTTTTCGGGTAGAAATTGACAAGCTGAATCTAAAACTCATAAGAAAATGCAAAGGACATATAATAGCCTAAGTAACTT